GAACGCTGCTGGGGCGCTTTATGATTGATGATGACGATTACAGCTCACGACTCCCATGTACGTAGACTATGATAATGACTCTCGTATACTGTTCATAAGCTCGGTCCATAAAATAATGTGGGGGGGTTGGGTAAGACAAACGTGCTCCATTCCCCTGTCTTGATGCTCCTTAAAGCCACGGAAATCCGTTCTCATCACTCAAATCTGGTTTTCCAAACGTTCATAGCAGTTATTTCAATATCTGAAAATAAGCTAATGCTAACAATTGCATATTTATATCTCGTCCCGCGTAGATGACAGTATTACAAGCTCTTTGGTGATGCATTGCCATATCGAACCAACTATCCTCAGTCCATTAACACCACGATTCATTGGGTCACAGCTGATATTAAACAGAAGTCCTGGGTAAGGGCAACGTAATTCATTATATAACCAGTTAATATATTTCCGTTATCGCCCATTGACGAATTTTTTTCTATTTCTAACCATAGTTTTTAAATTTTGGGAAAAAATCAATCAAAATAATACCCGAGAGAAGTGCAACGAAGACGTCACTTTCGCAGGTTTCAATATGACTCTTATTTGTTCCAACTACTTAATTCCAACAAAAAGCAGATAATCCATATACATCCAGTAAATGTTGTTGTGGTAATGTCTTGCGATGTACTACATGACTCTGGAGATGCATTTAACTCTCATAAAACCTTCAAAAAAGCGGCATTCACGAACCGCTGACGAACTCACTCGTATAGTCAAATACCGAATTGACATGCTGGAGCTGGAAATAAATTGACGCTTAAGGACCATGTATGCGCTTTCACCAACCCAGGATACAAGCATGGTATAGTGGGTGTGGGGTACTGCATCACTAAAGTCCCCCTCATGTCGAAAGTCCGTTAACCCCGCCCAAGGCACGAAGCCTTCCGAAGACTCTGGGATATTCAAGTAACATTAGAGCTGCAGGCAAGAATGCACATTCGTACATAATTTTGATAAAAGTATAGAGTTCGCATTTGATTCCTCGAAAGATCTTTCCGGCGGAGCTTCTCCCTGTACGGACATATAGAGTGACCGTAAGAATACGCAATAGAAGCGTATGGGTGCCGACAAAACCAAGAAAAGAAGCTGACGGGTATATACAATGCGAACAAGTCCGCACAACTTGTGTAGAGACATGTGCTTAGACATGGGCTCGCAGCACTTGGAACCGGAACCGCTGAACTAGCAATATCGGGAATGCCACGATGGTATCGACTACTGGATTACTTTAGAGTTTGGATTAGTGGGAAGTTCTGCATGCAGGGGCTAGGCTAGGTAGTCCCATACCTGCGAATAGGTTGACCACAATTCAAGCACGTATAAACGAGCGTTATTGGATATGCTTTCTGAGATTTCCGACGTTTTGACTCCTATTCATCTTCGTGGATTACTGCCATGTCAAGCACTTCTGCCCTGCCGCGGCCCTTAGTGTGCCCACCGATGAACTCTGTCAGGGTCTTGAAGGCACCCGGCTCGACGAAGCCTACAACTTCCCACTCGTCACCTGTGACGTCTTGACTTTCAACCTGCTCAACAAGGCCGAGAATATGGTCCTTGACGGTGCCGTGAGCCGCCTTCTCATCGCCATCACCATCTCCGCTGGCCTTCGGAGCTGTCTTGACAGACTGCTTGAGGACAGAAGTGGGACACGTTACTCGCAGCCTCATTCGTGCTCTCGTGACAGGGATGGGCTGATGGGCAATAAGAGCCTTCATCGCGTCCAGTGCCTGCGACTTTGCCGATTTATTTGTAACAACACCGGTCCACCTGGGCAGCTCCTTCGCCTTGCCCTTGTTCTCTCCTGCATTTTCGGCGTCTGCTATTTCCGTAGGTGGTGGATGTGCTGACTGTGAACTGAGTGTCTCGAGCGCCTTTTCAATCATACCCGTCGTGTAAACCCTCTTCGTCCTCGGGTCCACCAATTTCCCCGCGACAATATCGATGACCTCATTATGGACGCGCTCGAGCTGTGCATGCCTCTCTTTCTCTCCGACCTGCAACTCACCCTTGTTCAGTATTTCTAATATTATCTCATCTTGGGTTGCTTTCGCTCCAAAGGACTTTGCAAGATCTGCCTTGTTGGCGACCTGGCCTTTGCTGACGTTAACGAAGACATTGGGGATCTGAAGGACATTGTCGAGGTCTTTTTCAACGCCGCTGCGCCATTCGAGGACTTTGTTCTTGTAGCAAGCTATCTCATAGCGCTTCTTGCCTAGACCACGTCAGTAATGGGAGAGGACTGTTCTAGGGTGGGGTCGATGTACCCTTTTTCATGCGCACCAGAGAGACGTTGGTGAGCTTGATCTGGTTCGACGGCTGGTTGATTAAGACGGGCATGGTGGATAATTAGTGAATAGTGGTATATGTGGGTTGAAAGGTTGCGTATGGAAGAGTATGCAGAAAGAATAGATAGAAGTGAACTTTTTGGCGGGGAAGGATGACTGCGAGGGCTTGCACCAGACGGTCAAACGCGCTAGTCCGTTTACGGACACCAGACACCCTCATCTCACAGCGCGCGATTTCAAGCAGAGTAGGATTGAAAGTTGAGCTTAAGTTACTCTTTCTACTCACTGTTATTTCCTGCTGAACAAGTGCTTCTTTCATTCACTATCCCCGCATCAGGGAGTGCGTTCCCCGCCTCATACCGTGATGCCTCGTGACCGCGGCACGGGTGGCTGGGGCTGCAGGTCCCTGGCTGATACCCTGATAAGAGAGGCCGAGCAAGCGTCATCCGGTGGTTGCCTTTGACAACCCGAAACCACCAGCTCCTACCAGAGCTCTCTCTTACACCTCCCTCTTCACTCTCTTCATCTCCATCTCACCATCTCTCCATCCATCTACTCGATCTTTCTTTCGTATAATCATCATCATAATCGTCGCTTGTGCCTTCTCTATTCCTTTTCTATTGTCTAGTTCTCTCGGATTGAGTCGAACCGAGCTCTAGAAGCTCCATAGTTGCCGCCTTCGCCATGAAGGTCGCTACCTCTGCTTTGCTCCTCGGAGCTGCATCTGCTGCCATCAACCCGCCCCAACAGGTGTTGAAAGACTCTTTCAAGGAGACTCTCTCAAAATTGAGCTCCGAATCATGGACAAAGCCACTTCACAACCTCGAGGAGTCATTGAAAGGGCTTACCGGGGAAGCTCGTCAGACCTGGGATGAGGTCGCCAACATGTTCCCAAAGGACTTTGAACAGACTTCCTTTTTCTCGTCTCCCAAACCACACACTCGCAGGCCCGACCATGAGTGGGATCACGTCGTGAAAGGCGCTGATGTCCAGAACGTCTGGGTCGAGAATGCCAAGGGCGAGAAGGAGCGCGAGATTGACGGCAAGCTCGAGAACTACAACCTTAGGGTGAAGAAGGTCGACCCCAGCTCCCTTGGTGTGGACAAGGTCAAGCAGTATAGCGGCTATCTCGATGACGAGGAAGAGGACAAGCATCTCTTCTACTGTGAGTACCATATTAGCAAACACAACCGCCAACCTCAACTGATTTACCAAAGGGTTCTTCGAGTCTCGAAATGATCCCAAGAATGACCCTGTGGTCCTCTGGCTCAACGGCGGCCCGGGCTGCTCTTCTTTGATGGGTCTGTTCATGGAGCTCGGCCCTGGCTCCGTTACCGAGAATCTCAAGATCAAGTACAACGATTTCTCTTGGAATGCGAATGCTTCCGTCATCTTCCTTGATCAGCCCGTGAATGTCGGCTACTCCTACAGCAGTGGCCAGGTCACCAACACTGTTGCTGCTGGCAAGGATATTTATGCTCTTTTGACCCTCTTTTTCAAGCAGTTCCCAGAATACTCGAAGCAGAGCTTCCACATCTCGGGCGAATCCTATGCTGGACACTACATTCCCGTCTTCGCCTCCGAGATCCTCTCGCATAAAAAGCGTAACATCAACCTCCAGTCGATCCTGATCGGCAACGGTCTTACCGATGGTCTGACCCAGTACGAGTACTATGAGCCCATGGCTTGCGGAAAAGGAGGATGGCCCGCTGTTCTCGGCGAATCCGAGTGCCAGTCCATGAAGAACGCCTATCCCCGTTGTGCCAGCCTCATTGAAAGCTGCTACCGTTCCGAGAGTGTCTGGTCTTGCGTTCCGGCCTCCATTTACTGCAACAATGCCATGATCGGCCCATACCAGCGTACCGGCCAGAATGTCTACGATGTTCGTCGCCAATGCGGTGACAATGATCTCTGCTACGACGAGATTGACTGGATCAGCAAGTACCTCAACCAGAAGGACGTCATGAAGGCTGTCGGTGCTGAAGTGAACAGCTACGACAGCTGCAACTTTGACATCAACCGCAATTTCCTCATGCAGGGTGACTGGATGAAGCCCTTCCACCGTGTTGTTCCTGGTATCCTTGAGCAGATTCCCGTGCTCATCTATGCTGGCGATGCCGACTATATCTGTAAGTTGCTTGACCTCCGCCATTTTTATTAAACTTCGACTAACTTTGTATAAGGCAACTGGCTAGGTAACAAGGCCTGGGCTGACGCCCTCGAGTGGCCCGGCCAGAAAGATTATGCCAAGAAGGAACTGGAGGATCTCAAGCTTGGTGGCGATGGCCGCAAGATTGGTCAGGTGAAGAGCAGCGGCAACTTCACTTTCATGAGGCTGCACGCTGGTGGCCATATGGTGCCTTATGACCAGCCTGAGGCGAGCGCCGACATGTTGAACAGGTGGTTGTCTGGTGAGTTCTGGGAGCAGTAGAATAAATGACGTCAAAGAACCAGTATCGTGGTTGGCTTCAAGTTGGACGTAAGTTCGAGAGAAGTGACACTGGAATCAAGTCAGTATACGTGGACTTGGGAGTTTGGATAGCATCGGCCTGTATAATAGCAGAGACATAGGTGTATTGCAAATAAAGCTCATAGTGTACTGATTGTCGATGTTCCGCAGTTTTCTTTGACATTTTTACTTCAGCTTCGGTTGCCCTGTCAATCCACTAAATATCGGGTCGATTAGCTTAGTTGGTTAGAGCGTGGTGCTAATAGTTATATCTGTAAACGCCAAGGTCGTGGGTTCGACCCCCATATTGACCATTTCTTTTCTTTTTACCTCTGGTATAGTAGAGGGAATGGAGCAGCTTCTGGGTCGTTGAAGTGTATTTTTGGACAGCGGTCGTGGTTGGTGGTTGAACTGGAATCCTTTTTGAGTGGTGCAGGATGGACATACTCAGGGTAGGTTTTGAATAAATTTTTCGTTCATTTGTTTATATGCAGTTGGAGAAAAAGTTTATCTTTTATGATACCCTGGCGTGGCTGGGACGGTATTCGCGGAGCTTGAGGTGGATACCAAGAAGAGGCTGCGCGAGGTATGGCGCCTATCAGATGTAAATATACAAAGAACCTGAAGCCTGAAGGCCGAAGCTGAGCCTTCATCGAATATGCCCTTCATCTATCCCTTCTATTAACTTTTACTCCTATGATTCCGTCCTCCCCTTTACACACCCACTCAACATCCAGACTAATCATAGGCACAAGCACCTCTCCTCTCGAGCCATGTCACTAAAATCCCTAGCACTAACTAACCACTTCGTATCCCCATGAACATCCCCTTCCGTACGGTTACAGAGACATTAGTGTAGTCTTTGGCTTTGCCTTTTCTCGCAGCGCCGCTTTTGGATGTCTGTTGGGTCTGCAGGGTGTGTAAATGGGAAGGATCGGGCACCGGTTGCGGAATGTTGTGGGTGGTTTTAGTTTTGCCATCGTTTAGGATAATGAGGGTTTTAAGGAGGGGATAGGGGTTATAGTAGACTAGGAGGAGGAGCAGTAGTACGCTTACGGGTGGAAGTAGGAGTAGAAGAGGAAGTAAAAGTGGAGGTAAAACTGGAAGTAAAACTGGAAGTAGAAGTGGAAGTAGAAGTGGAAGTAAAACTGGAATTAGAAGTGGAAGTGGAAATATAAGTAGAAGCTTAGTATACTATCTCGGCTGTGCGCTTGAGATATCTGTCCAAGATGGCACACAATGGAAACGACTTCATCAAATCCCGCCCACGCATTTCCGTGCCAAGCACCGAGCGTTTGGAAAATTTTAGCTTGGTCGAATCATCATGCTTTTAGTATTCATGGAGCAATTCATTGGAATTGTATTCCTTTGGTCTCAGAGGGCGAGGGCGCCTACGGCTCTATACAAAGGGCGATTAACAACGCCCAGTATCGTGCTATGAGGAAGAATGTGAGAGTTTGCGGCCGTGGGATAAGATATGGGTGATTGGTCGAGGAATTTGGAAATGGTGCTTGCGAGGCTGGTAGCGGTGGGGTGTAGTTGGGGTGGTTGTGAGAATGAGCGTGGAGTAAGCGGTTGAGGGCAATGCTGCGCAAGTTATTAGTGTAGATGTCGGTGCGGATATACAGCTTGAAGGGTCACGAATGAGTGGCCAGACTTTTTGAGTAAGTGCTGGATCCGTCACTGTTCTGCTCGTTCATACGAAGGATACCATAACACCCCAGAACGCACGAGCATCCAACACGGACACTCAAAAACGCGATATTACCAGTAGGATAGTAGACAGTAAAGGGAAAGAGGGAGCGAATTAGTGAGTAGAGAGTATAGGGTAGAAGCTAGAGTTTTATCAGTCTTTGAATAAGGTATTAAATATTCTTTCTATACCTCACTGTTGCCTGAGCGGCAGCACTGGCAGATAGGGAACAACAACTAGTAGTTGGTGAAACAACTCACCCTAGCGATATTAGAATGGGTTAGGGTGAGGAAAAGGCAAAGATTTTGGGCTCTAGAGGGAGATTCTCTAGTGTCTGGTTTACTTTGCTCTACGCATTGATATTACGTGTTCATAGACCTGATTGAGAACCAGGTAGCACGTTAAATCGAATTATGATATTAATATCCTTTCTATAGAAGCCTAAAAGTACTATAGATCGGTAGGTAGTAGGCCACTATTATAAGAAGCATCGGCTTCGTTTTACGCTTAAGCTCTTCTAGGGCTAGAAAAGATTTTTTTAAATAAAAAATGAACTTCTTAGTAACGGAGAAATCCGAAAGTCAAGAGTATAAATTTATCAACATCCTCGCGAGAGATAAGTCCTCTTCGACCCCATGCAACTTCCACAACTCCTAATCCATATACATCTCCGCAAGATGGTATTGACTCCCCAAAAGCATTCACATACCGATCCTTTTTCCACCCACCGATATCGACAACGAAATATCACAGTGGGAACACAAGGAAGGATAAGAACGGGTCGTAGCCAATTCAGAGCCAAACCGTTCATTCGCACCGTCCATTCTGGGGGCCCCAATGCCATTCATAGAGGAACTGCCCTACAAACGGAGGGAAATGGCGCGGAAAATGTGGCGAAAGCGCAGGAAACAACTTGCCATTGACTATGTAAAGCACATCTAAAGAAAGCATATCTTGGGCGCGGACTCAATGGTGACTTTCGAATCCTGGTACCATTACTATCGATGCCAAAAAGGTGTTGTTTTACTGCAAAGCTAAATTAGGAAGGGAATGGGGGCGTAGGAGTGGATGTATAGGATAAAGGAGAAAGAAAAGATAGAGACCATTACAGTTTCTAAGAATACATACTCCCCTCTCCTTTACTTACCTCAAAACGCTGCTAAATAAAACCTCGAAAAACTCATGGAAACCGGTGCTGTTTATTTCGTTTGTGAAGAGAGGCTGAATGCTTGTCCATATAGAGACTTCTAATGCTTGTTATGCTATTGTGTACGCTGCGTTTATCTTTTTATCCACCCTCCACCGCTATCCACAGACGACACCCTCCTTCGGTACCTCTACCACCTCCCCCTCTCCGTCTCCGTCTCCTTCCCTTTTCCCCTTCACTTGCTTTTCCACCCGCCCCCCCGGCACCAACCCCACTGCCGTACTCTCCGCCTCTTCACCCCTCTGCTTCTCCTCCTCCTCCTTCGCCAACTTAGCCTTCTCCTTCTTACTCAACTGCATACTCCCCTTCTCAATTGCCTCCTTAGGCAAGGGTCGCACATACGGCTGACACACCCAAAAGGGCCGCTTGCAGCGTGCGACGGTCGCGAGAGACGAGGTGTAGGGGTCGAGGTTGAATTCAGCCGGGTTGGTGGCTTCGACGTTGGGGGTGGATGTGTTTTCTTTTGGTTCGCCATTTGTTCCATTAACGATACTAGTGAGGCCCTTTTGGTCTGAGGATTCCTTCTCATACGCAATCAGACCTTCCTTAACAGCTTCCTCAACAAGCCGGAGTACGTTTTCAAAGTTCTCGATTTCGCCGACTCTGCACCGAGCCAATGCGTCGCGCACGTTGTGGTGTTGCGATACCAGTGGACGGAGGAGGTGAAAGAGATGTGCTTGCATAGCCGTGAGGTTGGGGTTCGTGACCTGTTGTCTCCTGTCGGATTTGGACATCTTCTGTCTCTTATTCGCCTGTTCCTCTTCTCCATTCGCAGCGCGCTTCTCCCCACACTGCGCTTTCGTAACCTGCGCTTCCGGTTCGGTCACACCGGAGGGTAAGAATAGGGGTTTTCGCTGTGGGGGAGGTACACCGAGTGCGTATTTGTGGATGATGTCCATGTAGCGCCTCATTACAGCGTCGACTCTGTACCCCCCCTTTCCGTCGCGGCCGCGCCAGTATTCGCTGCCTTCTTGGCCAGGAGGTGGGGGTTCGGAGAAGATGGTAGGATCGTAGAGGTTTCCTTCGGCGCTCATGACTGCGTCGGCGCCGGTGGCGGCTAGGCACTTGTCAATGTCTTCGTGCTGGAGGATGTTGCCGTTGGCGAAGATGACGGTCTCCGGTGGGAGATTGTCCCGCAGATATCTGATGAAGCTCCAATCCGCCAATCCGGTATTGTGCCCCTTTTGTTCTCGTCGCCGCCCGTGGACAGTGATGATACTCGCTCCAGCATTCAAGAGGGTCTTCGCATATTCCAGCGTCTTCTCTTTTGTCTCTAGCACGCGCATCTTCGCCGTAACAGGCACATCCAACTCCTCATGCAGCCTCCTAATCATCCTCGAAATCAAGTCCCAATCCTCCTGCAAAAAGGCGCCATAATTTCCCCTCTTCGCAATCCCCTGCGGGCACCCCAAATTCAAATCCACTGCATCACAAAACGGTGCCACATGTTTCGCCGCCGCGAGCAAATCATCCGGGGAATTCGAGCAAAACTGAACAAACAGCGGGCGATCGAACTTCGGATTCCCGTCCAAATGCCACTCCGACTCCGGCAACTGCGAGATGTGGTAGTTGTCAACGGGAGACGGTAAGAAGGATCTTAGGGGCTGGAAATGCGAGTCTCGGTACTTGGGCGTGTCAGCGAACATGCGCGAGTGGAACATAGGAGTGTATGCCAGGAGCTTGGGGGATTGGTCGGGAGGGAGAAAGGAGCGTGTGAGCATACGCCATGCCTGCGGAGAGAGTCAGCTATTGTGAGCACCCTGTTGTATATCTTGTGCGCATACAAATTCAGACTGCTCCACCATGGGCGCGACAACCCACTTCGGGCTCCCGATACTTTCGTAAAATGCCCTTCCGTGGAGTTTCACCCTTTTGGCAGCCGGTACTGAAGATGGATCTACAACAGGCCCTCCAAGAGGGGGAATCGCTCCATCGTCCACGGACTGAGTTGCCATGATGCTCCCAAAGTACCGCCGGAAATGAGTCCCTTGGGCGTATTGCCTAGGTCCGAGGACCGCAAACACCCTCGTACGGAACGAATGAATGGTGAGAAGCGAGGTGAATATCCGACTGAAGCCGAAGAGCGGTGGTGCAGCAAATTTTGTCCTGGTAAGATTGACTTCACTTCGAAGACCTCATGTTGGAATGAAAATGTCGAAATCGCGGCTGAATGTCGGTAAAGCGGTTTCGACCAATGACCGGCTGCCAGCTGCGCTGCAGGATCATTAGATGGTCAGAATGGGTACTCGCCGGCTGGCTGCCTTGAACCAAGTCACTTGAGGTTTCTCTTTTGCCCTCTTCATTCTTCCTCTGTGGGATTGCAATCCAAAAGGTCATTCCTTTAATTTGACTTATGGAGTCTTGCCTTCAGGATCCATATCATAGCTAAGTATCACATAGAGCAGCCCACCGAC